AACGAGTGCATATGGCTTGGGCCGATCTGCACCAGCGTCCCGAATATTGCCAGGCAATAGTTGGCTCGATGCACCGCAGACTACTCGCCGTATTAGCCACCGATGGACACGCTATAAATTACTGAGAGGTAATATCGACATATTGAAAGAAACTGTATAAAATTGTATTATATGATGCAATGTTTCTGAGACAATTTTAGTTTTAATTTTAATATTTTTATACTTACATCCTTGCAGGTTTCCTCCACGAAGATCGATGTAGTGCTCGGTATTTACGGCTGCTCGTACGATATGTATTTCAACTCTAAGAAAATTATCAGAACGCTAGACGATACGCCACTGCAGGTACAATTTTGCGAGCCTGCGTTATTATACTTCATACTGTTTCTATCGCATTTGAGCTACTCGACCCGATATATTTAACCCTATTGTCACAGGTATCTTATTTGCAGGCTGGAAAGGATTATCTTTCATTTGCTGAACAATTTGTTTATCTTCGGCCGGAGTGATGCATCTTTATCCCACGTTAAAATTTCGCTGGTCTTGAAACATAGCACCTTCACCCATTTGATATCTTTGCACTCATCTTCTAACAGTTTTCACACAGCATTGAACTTGTGCGGCAATTTCCTGCACTGTATTTATTTTGTAATTTTGTAAAAAGACAACATTTGAAATTATCGTATTTACGAGATAGGCAACAAATGTGTAGTTAAATTTGATATTTTCATTTTAACAGTTGTTAATTTTAAAAATAAATGCATTATATTTGTTTTATTGCATGTATTGTATTTATTTTACATATATTTGAGTATATAGATCCACGGTGGCAGCTCGTTGCAACGAGATTTTACCGTAATAATTACGCAAGCGCGTCACGTATCGATGCGATAGATTTAGTTTAGAACGGCGAGTAAACAAATTTAAAGAACGATAACTAATGAAGATTTAACTGGATATTAATAAAAGTGCGGTAGAGTGTGCGCTATGTGTTTTTATATGGATTGCAAGAAATTAATCCCTTATCCGGGTAATTTATTTCCCTTCAAGGATACTACAATATATAAAAGTATTATGCACACATGAAATTATAAACAAAAATTGCGATAAATTCATAACTTCTCATGTTTTAATATTTTGCAACTCAACTTTAAATTAAAATATAAAATTATCTTTAAAAAGTTATATAATATCAAAATATAATATTGAAAAGCGGAACTATTGAAAGAAAAGTACTATTAATAATAAAATAAAACTTATCCAGTATAGCTTGAAGCATGACGCTCTAAGGAAAGAATCGTAGACCTCGTGAACGCTCTTCTCGAGAAACTGTTAGACTGGATTGTCTGAATCAGTTGCCCAGACTTTGACGCCTCTGAAAATATAATAAAAATCCACAAAGCAATTGTCTTTTGCTTAGTGCAATTCGTGAAACTTATAGAAGAAAGAAAACTTATCTGAAATGCCGTAATGTTAGCCTCCTGGAATTGTAGAAACTAAATATTTGCGCTTTATCGCACTCCACGCGAAGAGATTCATATATTCTATTGTCATCGTCTTTTCCACGGAGATTTGGAAGAAAAGTCCTAGAATTATATATTTATTTAAACCGAAAATTTATTATTTATTATTAGGTTATATAGGTTATTTTATCCTGTCAAATTCGATCGTAAGTCGTAAGCTTTAGTCAGTCGTTTAGTTAATCGTGCATGGACTATGAGAATGTAGAAAGGTGGTGACTTCTCGATTTGCGAAAATTTCATCGTATAACTTCGTATAATGTAACTGAGTCGACAAGGCACACAGGGGATA